TGGAGGGATGGATGGATGGATGGATGGGTGGAGGGATGGATGGATGTGCAAATGATATGGGGTTAAATTGATGCATGGATGCATGGGTGGGAGGACATGTGGATGGGTGGCTGTGAAGAATACAATCGTGTGCATGGGTGGATACAGGTCGGGATCGAGGGAGGTGTGCATAAATGGAAGGATGTACAGATGGAGGGAAGGAAGGGAAGGAAGGGAAGGAAGGGAGGAAGGGAGGAAGGGAGGAAGGGAGGAAGGGAGGAAGGGAGGAAGGGAGGAAGGGAGGAAGGGAGGAAGGAAGGAAGGGAGGAGGGGAGGAAGGGAGGAGGGGAGGAAGGGAGGAAGGGAGGAAGGGAGGAAAGGAGGAAGGGAGGGAGGGAGGGAGGCTGTTTGGGTGGATAATGGGTGGGTTTGTGGGTGGATAGGTGCCCCCAGGGCGGTTGGCAGCAGCAGAGGAATCCCCACACAGGAGCCTTTGCAGCCCATTGATTGCACACCACCTTGGTGAGCACACTTCATGCCTGTGTGCACATGTGAGCTCAGCCACGCACACAGGCACATGCAGCCACACAGCCACGTGTGCACAGGCATCTCCACACAAGGGTGCACCTCCACACTTGTGGAGGAGAAACTGAGGCACAGAGCAGCTCTGACCCCATCCCACAGCCCCACCACCGCTGCTCTCTCTCTTCTCCAAATCCCCAATCCTCCCTAACGAGCTCCAAGCCGGCAGCAAGGCCATGGCCAGCCCCGTGCCCCCGCGCCATCCCCGTGCACCACAACATTGATTGTGCCCCACACCACCGCTGCCCCTCCGCGCCCCCCGGCCGCCCACCTCCGCCTCGCTCTGCAGAGCAAACAGCCGCGGGCTCGGCTGCGCATCGATTCTGTGAGAGCTGCTGTTTGCTTAACCTTTGCAGAGAGCGGCAGGCGTGCGGCACGAGGAGATGCTGCCTCTCAGCTTTGTCCTTCCCCATCCTTCAGCTGCTAATGGGCTTTGCTTGCTTGGCTGAGGGGCTGTGGTGGCCCACGAGCAGGGGATGGGGACAGGGATCACCCCGGGGTCTCTTTGTGGACCGCTCGGGATGTTGTCCCCACTCACGTGGTGCTGCACGTGGGGTAATGGGGGTAATGCTCCAGGTGCCTGCACCGTAGGAACGTGGCACTTTGGGGTGGTGGCTGTGCCATAGGATGTGGTTGCTTGGGGTGGTTGCTGTGCTGGTAGGGACATGGTTGTATGAGGTGGTGGCTGTGCCCTGGAGATGCGCTGATTTGGGTTTGTGGCCGTGTCGATAGGGATGAGGTAGTTTGGGGTGGTGGCCATGCCATGGGGATGTGGTAGCCTGGGCTGCTGGCTGTGCCATGGGAACAGGGTGGTTTGGGGCTGTGCCTGTTTTGGGGTAGTAGCCATGGCATGGGACCTGGTGGCCTGTGGTGGTGGCTGTGCCGTGAAGTGGGGTGGTGTCCATGTCAGTAGGGACATTATGGCTGAGAGAGGTGGCCATGTCATGGGGACGCAGTGTCCATGCCGACAGGGACAGGATGATTTGGGATGCTGGCTGTGCTGTGAGGATGTGGTGTTTTGGGGGTGGTGGCTGCGCCGTGGAGATGCAGTGGTTTGGGGTGGTTGCTGCACTATGGGGACGCACTGGTTTGGGGTGGTGAGGTGGCCTGTAGTGGTGGCCCTGTTCTGGGGATAAAGTGACATCGGCACAAGTGTCTGAGCACAGCAGTGTCCCATTATCCCTCGGCATGAGGCGAGTGCTGTGATCCAATCTGGCGGTGTCCAATGGGGCCCCTCCGTGGCACACCACCCCTGTCCCCGTCCCCACGCACAGCCCTGTGCCACCCGTAGGAGCGCTGCGCCAGAGGGTGACTCACGGAGCCCATGGCCTCGCCGAGGCGTATTTTTAGGAGCTCATTAAAAAAGAAAAGGAAAGGAAAAGGAGGGGAGAGGGAGAAAAGGAGCGGGGAAGCGGCGGCGGAGCGCAGTTATCCTTCACGTGGTGACTGCTCGTGGGGACAGCGCAGGGGCGGCAGCCCGACCCCCAAATCTTCTTAAAGCCCCCGAATCCCCCACAGCCAGCGCCACGGCCGCGTGTCCCGGGGCTGTGGTGTCACTCTGATGGGTGTCACCGGTCCCCGCGTCCCCGTTGAGATTCGGCCGCGGCGCCGCGGGCGGCTGTCAGCTCCCATCGCGTCGCAATGCCGGCTGTGACGAGCGGGCGCTCGGCCCCGCAGCCCCCGGTCCTCGGCTGCGGAACGCGGGGTGACACGCGGCGGAGCGCGGCCACCAAAGCCCCGGGCACAGAGCGGGGTGTGCCACAGGGCTTCGTCCCCGCCGTCACCGTCAGTGCCATGTGCGTGGGGGTGGCATTGCTGGGGACGGTGCGCTCAGCCCCGCTGCTACCAGCAGCGACAGCCCGTGTGGGTCACTGCGCGGTGCGTGCGTGGGGCTGGGAGGAGTTGGGGTGATGGGGACGTGCTGGGGACGTGGAGAGATGGTGGCCACGGAGGGGCAGTGCAGCACTGCCGCCCCATGGGCTGCACTGGGGTGCAGATGTGGTCCTGCTCCCCGTCCCCAGCGGTCCCAGCTGGGGCAGTGGGGACACTTTCGGGACAGAGTCCATTGGGGTGTCCTATAGGGTGGGAGCTGTGGGGCACTTTGGGGGTATAGGGTTGACCCTGAGCTTGTGGCTGACATTTGTCCCCTTGGTGTGTGGCTGCACGTCCCCCGTGTGCCACGTGTGTCCCCTTGCTGTCCAACCGTGTGTCTCCGTGTGACATGTGTGTCCCCATGGGGTGTGACCGAAAGTCCCCAGATGTCACAGGGATCCCCTCTGCGGGCCAGCAGGGACACAGGTGACAAACCCAGCGAGCAGTGCCTCTGGCTGAGCCACCCCTGGCCCCGCCGGGGACACAGAGGGGACACGGGGTGGCGGTGCTTCTGACCCCTCGTGCCCCGTGGGTGTCCCCGGAGCTGCACCCCATGGCCGCACCGGCTGGGGGCGTGGCCAGATTGGGGGCGTGGCTCTGCGCTCCCCGGGCGGCGCCGGAGGCGAATCACTGCGCGGAGGGGGCGTGGTCTGTGCGAAGTGGGCGTGACTCCCGACCGAGAGGGCGTGGCCAAGGAGTGCTCGGGTGTGTCTGCACAGGCAGTGGGCGTGGTCACAGGGGGCGTGGGCGTGGCCTGGCGGGGGGGGGCGTGGCCTGGCTCGGAGCGCACCGGAGCTCAGCGGAGCGGATCGGAGCGGAGCGGCACCGCCGATCCCCGAACCCCACCGCCCTGCCCGCCCCCAAACCGGCACCATTCCGGCCCAGCGAGCAGCCCCGGCCGGGCGTCGGCTCAGCCTCGGCCGTAAAACTTTGCTGGCGGCCGCTGCGGGCGTGGTGATGGTGCTGGTGCTGGTGGTGCTGATCCCGGTGCTGGTGAGCTCGGCGGGCACCGACGGCCGCTACGAGATGCTGGGCACCTGCCGCATGCTCTGCGAGCCCTACGGGGGCACCACGCCGGGGGGCGGCCCGATCCCACCGCCCTCCACGCTGGTGCAAGGGCCGCAAGGCAAAGCGGGCAAACCGGGCAAACCGGGACCGCCGGGACCCCCCGGCGAACCGGGCCCGCCGGGCGCTGCGGGCCCGCCGGGGGTGCGGGGCGAAGCGGGCAAACCGGGGCCGCCCGGGCTGCCGGGTTTGGGGGGCACGGGGGCGGTGAGCACGGCCACCTACAGCACGGTGCCGCGCGTCGCCTTCTACGCCGGCCTGAAGAACCCGCACGAGGGCTACGAGATCCTCAAGTTCGATGATGTGGTCACCAACCTGGGCAACAGCTACGATGCCGCCTCGGGGAAGTTCACCTGTGTCATCCCCGGCACTTATTTCTTCACCTACCACGTCCTGATGCGCGGCGGAGACGGCACCAGCATGTGGGCTGACCTCTGCAAGAATGGGCAGGTACGGGATGCAGGGGTCCAGGGAGGTCCTGGGGGGGTCCTGTCCTTCTCCTGCCCATGGGATGCTCATCTTGTGCAGCCCCGGGATGCTCTGTCCTTCTCTTGCCCGTGGGATGTCTGCCCCCATGATGCTCCGTCCTTCCCTCAGTGGCAGTGTTGTGCTCCAGGTCCCTCCCCGAGGTGCCCTGTGTTTCTCCTGCCCGTGAAGTGTGCACCTCAGGATGCTCCATCCTCCTCCCAGCTGTGGAATGTGCACCCCCAGAGAGCTCCATCCCTATTCCAGCCATGAGATGTGCACCCCCAGGCTGCTCTGTCCTTTTTCCAGCCATGGGATGCACACCCCATGTTACTCCGTCCCTCCCTGCCCTTGGGATGCACACCCCTGAGATGCTCCATCCTTCTGCCAGTGCCAATGATGTGCCCCAGGTGCACCCTGTGGTCTCCTATCTCCTCCTGACTGTGGGATGTGCACCCCGGGATGCTCCATCCTTCTCCTGGTAGCAATGATGTGTCCCCATGGGTCCCCTTTCGGTCCCTCTCCTGCCCCAGCGATGTGCCCTGCTGTGCCGTGGGCTGTCTGTGTGCTCCCTGCCGTGTCCCCATGGTGCGTGCCAGCGGCCATGCCCTGGGGACAGCAATGCAGGGACAACATTTGCGGTGGTTTTGGGGACACTGCGGGGCTGTGCAGTGCTGAACCCACATTGAGGGCAGTGTGAGCCCAGCCCGGAACTGGGTCCACTGCTTCTCAGCCCTGTTTGGGGACAGATGTCCCCATCCCCAGCTGCTGTGCACCCATGGGACATCTCCTCCACCCGGTGACAGCCCCTGGGTGACACACAGTGGGGCCGCTGCCCCGGTGCTGAGGCTGCCCCCATCCTCACCACCCGCAGCCCCCACATCTCCACCATCCCCATGGCTGAGGCTACCAGGTGATGTCGCATCCTCACGACACAAACCCTTTGCTGGAGCTGTGGCTGTCGCACTGCAAATGTCACACTGCACCGAGAGGCTCTGAGCTCAGTGGGGTGACATCTCCCCATGGCCTCAACCACAGCTCTGCCCCAGCAGTTGGGTTTGGCCTTTGGCTGTTGTGTTCTCCCTCCCTTCACTCACTGCCCCAGATCCGAGGCATCAGAGATGCTCAGTGCTTGTCCCCGTGGTGCTGCCTCTGAGCGTCACTGCGCAGAACCATTGCACCGAGCATCGCCCCGGCACCTGGATGGGATTTTTCCTTCTTCAAGAGCCCCGTGGGATTTAGAGGGATTTAGGAGCCCAGAACCCAGCTGGGAATGGGGTCGCTGCCCCGGCCCTTTGCCATCCGCATCCCCCCCATGATGTGAGCCACAGCTTTGCCCAGCAGTTGGGTTTGGCGTTCAGCTGTTGGTTTCTGCCTCCCTTGGCTCACAGCCCCACATTCAGGACACTCAGGATGCTCTGTGCTTATCCCCACGGCAACAACTCCGAGACCCCCACGCGGTGCCCATTGCGCCGAGCGTCTCCCCAGCACTAGGATGGTTTTTTTCCTTCCCAAATAACCCCACGCAGTAATTTAGAATCCCAAAACCCAGCTGGGAACGGGGTCGCCGCCCATCCCTTTGCCATCCCCACGCCGCGGGCTCGTGCCGGCACTAACAGCTGCGTTTCCCGAAGCTACAAAGCTCCTGTCAAGAGTAAATAAACCCATTCGGGCGTGCGCCTGCAATACAGCTTAATCATCGTCACGGCCGTCCTCGTCGGGCGCCGGCTTCGCAGCCGTCCCCACGCGCCGGGTGTTAATTGCCAGCACGATATCACAGCTCTAATTGGGGTTTGTGTCGCAGAAATACAGCCCAGAGTGAAGCCGGGGTGGTGGGGTCGCACCGCAGCGGCGATGCCCCAGTGTTTCCCTATGGAGAAGTGTCCATCGCAGCGCCGGCCGCGCCGCTCGAGTTAATGAGAGCCAGGGGAGCTGCTCCTGGTTATTAATTAGCATTAATTATGATTATTTGTATTAGCTTGTTGCTGTTTCGGTGAGCACGGGGTGACAAAATTGTGTTTGGGGGGAAGGTGGCTGGATGTCCTCAGTGTTGTCCCTTGAGGGGACATGGGGGACAGTGGGGGACGGTCCCCAAAGTGTGACCCCACAGAGGGATGTGCCCATGGGGCCACACCTGGGAGAGCCCAGGTGCACCCAAAGGTGATGTGTCGGACCCCAAAGACACGGGGCGCCCTCAGACACCGCTCCATGTCCCTCTGCACTGGGTGGGCACAGAGCTGCAGTGGTCACAGTGGCCAGGACACTGCTGGGGGCAGCTCACAGCCGTAGGGTCAGTGGGGTTGGAGACAGCCCTCCCCAGGTGCCACGTCCCCATTTTGGGCACTTCTTCCCACATCCCTTGGGTGCAGGCACAGCTCCCAGCTGTGGGGTTGCTTCGGTTGACGTCCCCATTTTGGGCTCTTCTCCTTTCCCACGGGCAGCGCCATGGGAAAACTGAAGCACAGAGCTGCTGCGCCCCATCTCTGCATCCCCTCCAGTCCTGGGGACACGGCTGCTGGGACAACGCGGTGGCTCTGCTGCCATGGAGCCATTTATCTTCCCTGGTTAGCCAAGGGCTGGCGGGCGCGCGGTGACGAGGCGGCTCCTTAACGAGGGAAGACGGATGGCAGTCGCTGCAGCGGGGACGGGCGGTGTGCTGGGACATCAGTAGGTTCCAGAGTAAACAGGGGCTGATGGGTGGGATCTGTCACGGCCGTGGGCTGCCTGCAGGTCTGGGGATGCTGCTGCCTCTGCCCCGATGGCTTTCGTGGTAGCAGCACCACGGGGCTGTGGTTGTGTCCGTTCAGCTGCAGGGTTGGGGCTGCTCCCTGCGAGCCGACGGAGAGCCCATTCTTGTCAGTCCTAATTAGGAGCTGCTTCTCCCTGCTGTGCCGCTTTGCATTTCACTTGGGATTTTTTACCTGCCGCCTTGTCACTGTCACTGAGATCCCGCTGCAAGGCTCTGGCTCAGATTTGATTACCCCAATAATTCCCTATCAGCTGCAGCCGCAGTGCCACTTCCCTGGGTGGCCACGAGGCCGTTGGGTACGTGTGGGTTTTTACAGATGTAAGTATCCCTTCCCGCCCCATGCCTGAGCCATAACCCCATGTTCAAGCCTATGGGTCAGGGCAATGCTCAGCAGCACCACAACGGCACCGCTGTCCCCACGCCAGTGCCATCTCTTCCATCCAGGTCCCATCACCCATGGAATGGGTCCAAAGAAGCCTGAATGAAACGGGAAATGGGGCCCCAGGGGGTGGCTGGGTGCGGGGTCACAGCAGGGAAGTGGGGCCATGGATGCAGGTGGGCTAAAGCTGTGTCCCCTGTGCAGGTGCGGGCCAGCGCCATCGCGCAGGATGCGGACCAGAACTACGACTACGCCAGCAACAGCGTCATCCTACACCTGGATGCAGGTGATGAGGTCTTCATCAAGCTGGACGGGGGCAAAGCCCACGGCGGCAACAACAACAAATACAGCACCTTCTCGGGCTTCATCATCTATTCGGACTGAGCCTGGACCCATGGCATCGCCCCATGGCATCGCCCCATGGCATCGCCCCATGGCATTGCTCCACACCCACCCAGCCCCACAGCATCCCCATGTGCAGCCCTATGGCCGGCTGTGGGGCCCAGGATCCCCCTCCCCCATCACCCGCTCACCCCATTGCTGCTAATCGGGGCGGGGGGAGCAGAAGGGCAGTCCCCTGGCTGCGACCCGCTCAGTGCCCGTGCGATGTGGGTCTGTATGGGGTACCTCGTGCCGGGGTTGTGCTGGGGGAGCTGCCTGGCCCCGGGTGACTCCATGGTAAAGCAGAGCTGTGACCTCTCCCCGTGTGCTGTCTTTGTCCCTGTGTCGGGATGTCACCAGGGTTGGGGATGGCGCCTTCTGGCCTCATTGTCCCCCCTCAGCCCGGCCAAGGACACGGGGCACTGTCCCCAGGTGCTGCAGTCCAGGTGGGAGCTGCTGTCATTGTCCCCTCGCTGTCCCTGCAGGGTGACAGTGGGATGGGTCTCCTGGGGAGATCGCGGTGCCCGCTGTGGGGCTGGGCTGTGCAGGACGGGGTGGTGTGGGGAAGCTGCGACATGACGCGGCCCTGTGGCAGAATGTGGCCCCATGGTGGGACGTGGCCCCATGAGAGGAGCTGCCTGCATGGTAGCACACGGTCAGACATGTCCCTGTGATGGGATGTTGGCGCCATGTGAGAACATGAGATACATGACAGAACGTGGTCCCGTGTCAGGACGTGGCCCCCTGGCTGAGGCGGCCCCGTGGAAGGGCTCGGCCCTTCGGGCTTTAGAGGCTGCTCCACCCCCAGCCCCGCCCCCAGCCCCGCGATACGGGACCACAAGTCCCGTGATGCCCCGCGCGGAGGCTGAATGTCACGTGACCCGGATGAGCCAACGGGAGGTAACGGAGCGAACGGCCAATCAGAAAGGCGGGAGGGGCTGCCGGGAGATTTGAACGCGGAGGGCCGGAAGTGGAGGGTGAGTGGGGGGGCGGGGGGCGGTGTGGGGCTGAGGGGAAACAGCCGGGATCCGAGCGGGGGTTTGGGGCCTGCTGGAGGCCGTGGGCCTCGGGTCGCAAACGAAGGCTGTTAGGCCGCGGAGTCGGCACGGCCCGGAGTGGTGCTGTGGGATCTGAGGGGCTGCGGGGCCTCGGGGTGTCGGCACAGACAGCAGGGAGAGAACGTAGGGTCCTTAGCGCGGGTGCTGTAGATCCCGTGGGGTCAACGCCGCGCCCTCTAGGCTCTAAGGGGGGCCGTAGGGGCGGGCGAGGCCTTACAGGGGGCGGCACGGGCGGAGGGGTGGGCGGCGTGGAGCTGTAGGGACAGCGGGTGCCGGCGCTGCGGAGTGCGGGTCGGCGGCCCCCCTTCAGGCTGCGCCCCGAGGCTCACCTGCGCCCCTCACCCCTCTGTGCGCGGATCCCAGGCCGCGTCCCGCCGAGCCCGCCGTCCCCATGGCGATGGGCGCCCCGCCCGAGGACGGCGCCGTGGCCGTAATGGTGCGGGTGCGGCCGGCCGTCCCCAGCGAACGGGATGGGGCCGCGCGGCCCGTGCTGCACGTCGTGGATCAGCACATCCTCGTCTTCGACCCCGAGGAGCCCGGCGGACCCCCCCGGCACCGCGCTGCCCGCCCGCGGCCCCAAACACCGCGGCAAAGACCTCAAGTTCGTCTTCGACCGTGTTTTCGGGGAGGGAGCCACGCAGGAGGAGGTGTTCCTGCACACGACGAGGGAGGTGTTGGATGGAGTCCTCAATGGCTACAATTGCTCCGGTACGGCCCGAGGGGGGCTGTCCCACACACCCTCAGCAGAGCCAGGATGTGGCCTTTGTGCTGCAAGGGACGTCCCCAGGGTGGGAAGGGGTGTCTGTGTCTGCTGCCATCTCAGTCCTTGATTTGTGGCAGCATGGTGGAAAACCCGAAGAAGATGAGAGAGGGAATGGGTCATAAAACAGCAGCACAGGAGCAGGCGGTGCTAAACTGCCATCAGCATTGAGCTGGGGGTTGCAGGTGTGGTCGAGGTGGGGTGTCCCTGGCACAGGGGAGACTGAGAAAATACTGAGAGCTGCTGAGCAGGAGGCCGGGTGAGGTGGATGTGTGCTGCGATCTCTGGGAGCTGCTGTGTTCCTTGTGCATCTCCCAGCCCTGCAGTGCACACAGACCAGGTCTGAACGCTCCTCGCCCCGCGCTGCAGATCCTCGTGCTGCTTGCAGGCTGTCAGCAGCGTGGCGTAACGAGCTGCACGGTGCTGAGCTGGGCGCTGGGGCTGCACGATGCTATTCCTGGCTCTGTCACCGTGCCCACCTGGCAGCATCTCCTGTCTCTGCCTGTGTGAAATAACTCCCAGATCCTCAAATGAGATATTCCCAAAGCCTTGCTAATGGGGAGAAAGGCTAAGGTTCTCTAGATTAGCGTCCTGTTCCAATGCTAATGCTTCAGAGAGGGGGCTGAAGGGTTGGGGAATGTGGATGAATTGCAAGGTCTGGAGAAAATCTCCTTCACTGAGAGATGGAGACCTGGGGGTGCTCAGCTTGTAGGGTGGCTCGAGTGCGGCCTTGAAGCGTCTGAATGGGTGACGGCGTGGGGACTCGTCCTGTCTTTATCCGCTAAATTAGAGATGCTGACAGCTGAAACGAGAGAGAAATTGCACTGGGGGAATTGTGCAGACAGTGCTGAGGGTAATTAACTATTGAACCGCTCTGCGACGGCTGCGAGTGACCCGCTCTGCTGCAGCGTCTGCTGCAGGGCCGTCACGCTGCTGACAGTTTCAAACACCCCTCTCCCTCCTCGCAGTGTTTGCCTACGGTGCGACGGGAGCGGGGAAAACCTACACCATGCTGGGCTCAGAGCAGAGCCCGGGCATTATGTACCTCACCATGGCGGAGCTGTACAGGAGGATTGAGGCCAGGAGGGACGACAAGAGCTGCGAGGTGCTCGTCTCCTACCAGGAGGTATGCGTGTTCCCCATGAGATTTGGGGCTGCTGCTGGCCCCATAGCGCTGCAGTATGCTGGGGATGCCTGCTGTCCCAGCTGGATTCGGGCTCACCAAACTGGTGGGGAACTGGTGCTGCTGGTTCCTCCCATGCAGAGAATGGGAAGTTTTTCTGCCTCACCGAGCTGCTGCGGCGCCTGCAGTCTGCATAGCAATCTGAAAGGGCTGTGCAGGAGGAGCGGCAGCGCAGTGACTTGCAAGTAAAGCCCTCGAGAGCTGTCCTCTGCATTTAGAGCACTGTCAGCCGCTCTGTGTCACGCCTGGGCAGCGCCTTGCAGGGATTGGGGTGGGAAGGACTCATCGGATCAGATTGTGACCCTCGTGCGCAGAGCTGCTCGATGCTGGGGTAACGGGCCGCGTGTTCCCTGCTCCAGGTGTACAACGAGCAGATCCACGACCTGCTGGAACCCAAGGGCCCTTTGGCCATCCGGGAGGATCCAGAGAAAGGAGTTGTGGTCCAGGGGCTCTCCTTCCACCAGGTGGGTGTAAGGGCTGTGCGCAGGCTCAGTGCAATGCTGTCCTAGCAGCAAATGTGACCCTGAGCTGAAGGGAACGCTGCAGGACAGCAGGGTGCCTTACATCCCAGTTGTCATTTCTTAACGTTGGGTTGTTGTGGTGGCTACGCGGGGCACCCAGCCTGCTGATATCCACCCCTCTGCTCGATTCCAGCCCAAATCAGCAGAGCAGCTCCTGGAGATGTTGGCCAATGGCAACAAAAACCGGACCCAGCACCCCACGGACGCCAACGCCACCTCCTCCCGCTCTCATGCGGTCTTCCAGGTGAGGGCTGAACCATAAAACCACAGCATGGTTGGCCTGAAAAGAGCCTTGAAGATCTTAGAACTGCGGAATCACAACAAGTTGGGTTGGAAGGGACCCCCAAGGCCCCCAGCCGCACTGCTGCTGTGGTCTGGGTGCCCCACATCAGCTTGGGCTGCCCAGGGCTCCACCTGTGGCTTTGGGATCTCCAGGGCTTATCTGTCCCATTGTCCCCCTCAGCACAGAGCCGGGATCCCTGCTCTCTTTGTCCTCACTGTGTCGATGCTCTCCCCCACAAACCAGCCACTCGATTTCGATTCCAGCCAGGCCTTCCCTGAATTAGCAGGGCTGTCACGGCTGCGTGGGGAGACTGAGGGCTCTGCCTGCAATTTCTGTGTGAACCTGGTGGCTGTGAGCAGGGGGAGTCCAGGTGTCTGGATGCCTTCCCAGCCGGGTGCATTGCTGGGCGCTGGACTCCTGCCTGCTGCACAGCCGTTAGCAGTGCTGGAATTGTGCCCTCCCTGCTGCTAGCTCTGCCTGCTGGTGAGCCAGGCGTGGGCTGCTGAGGGTGTAGGACTGGGATACGACACGGGAATTGGGCTCAGCTCTGAGAACGCAGCCTGGGTGCTCCTGGTGCTCCCAGGCACTGCGAGCCGATGTCTGGGCGATTCCCCCAGCGCTGGGTTTGTCCATCCTCGTTGGGTTGTGGCCTCACCAGTCTCTGTGCTCGCAGATCTACGTGAAGCAGCAGGACCGTGTTGTCGGCCTTGCTCAGGACCTGCGGGTTGCCAAGATGAGCCTGATTGACCTGGCAGGCTCTGAGCGAGCCTCTGTCACCAACACCAAAGGAGAGCGTCTCCGGGAGGGCGCAAACATCAACCGCTCGCTGCTGGCCCTCATCAACGTCATCAATGCGTTGGCTGATGCAAAGGTAGTGCTGTCCTGTCATGCCCTGCTGAGTGCCAGGGCCCAAAAGCTGAGCAGCCCCTGGCTCTCTCGGTGCAGAGCAAGAAAACCCACATCCCGTACCGGGACAGCAAGCTGACGCGCCTGCTGAAGGACTCCATTGGTGGCAACTGCCGCACCATCATGATTGCTGCTGTCAGCCCCTCCTCCCTGGCCTACGAGGACACCTACAACACTCTCAAGTACGCCAACAGGGCCAAGGAGATCAAGCTGTCGGTGAGGAGCTCATCTTCTGCTGAGGGTTTGGGAGCTGGTGGGAAGGAGTTGAGTTTCACAGCCTGCCCCGGTGTGCGGGGAGGGTCAGTGGGTGCCTCTGTGCTCCAGGTTGGGTGGTCTGTTGGGTTGTGGCATCCAGCCCCTCTGGCCAATTGATGCTGAGGACACTGAATGCACAGTCTGTGCCGAAGCTCCTCATCCCAGCAGGACTGGTGGCAGGGACAGCGGGTCCCCGTGCGTTGCTCGTGCCATCTGCAGCCTCTGCTCCAGCACTGGGAGGGATCTGAGCTCAGCCCCGTTGCTCTTTTGACCTCTTGCCCATCCCTGTCTCTGCAGCTGAAGAGCAACGTGCTCAGCCTCGACTGCCACATCAGTAAATATGCCACAATCTGCGAGCAGCTGAAAACAGAGGTGAGGTGCTCTGTCTTTTAGCTGTGCTTTGATTGATGTGTGCACCTCTGAGCTCCTCTGCGAGTCGTGTCACAGTGCTGCCTGCTGGCAGAGCTCTGGGCTCTGTGGGGCTTCTGAAACAGCTGTGGTGCAAGCGATCCTTCTCTACAGGTGGCAGATCTCCGGGCCAAGCTCCGTGCCTATGAGGATGCTGCCCAGGATGCAGGAAAGCAAATACCAGCACTGCTGCCTTCTCCCAGGTGAGGTTGTGGTGCCAGTGGGGAGGAGAGGCAGAGCTGGGGTGAGCCCTAAAGGAAGCTGGGCTGGGAATCCCAAACATCGTCCTTATTGATCCAACCCAAACGTGGCTGTTTTCCCAATGGATTTCTTTCTCTCTCCTCATTTCTGTAGGATGGAAGAAGCTGTCCCAAAGAGCTGCTCAGTCACGACTGCTTGCAGGGAGAGTGGTGGGGAGCAGCAGGAGCTGGGAACTGGGAAGGATGCTCAGCTGGAAGGAGAGGAGGAGGTGAGAGAAAGAGTGGGAGGGCTGGGGATCAAATGCCCACATGGCACAGAGGACAGGAGCTCAGTCCTGGGGTGCTGGCTTAGTGTGAACTCCTTTTTGCTAGCAAAACCCTTCAGCTTTTAGATAAAGGAGTTTGGAGGATGAGACTCAGCTCCGTTTGGGTCAGATAAGTGATCGCTTTGGGATGTTGTTCCAGGTCCCAGAGGAAATGCCCCCCAGCAGCCCCACCCAGCAGGCAGATCTCCAGCTGGGAATGAAGAAACCGAACCACCTTCCACAATGTTTGTCCCACAGCCACACAGACACGTGAGTCCCTCCTCTGTGCGCCCCCTCCTGCTCAGGTGGCCCAAGCTGACCGATGCTCTGGAAGCGGAGGGGCTGCCCAGACCCATTTATCTGACGCTGTCCTCCCCCTCTGTCCCAGGCTCGTAGCCACTGTTCTGAGTGTTGCCCAGAAGCAATACTCCCTCCTGAAGGCTGCCAACCTCCTCACTCCTGACATGGTCTCTGAATTTGAGGAGCTGCAGCTCTTGGTGCAGCAGGAAGCAGCTGTGAGCCCTGAACCCACAGACACCAGCGGGGCCCCTCCAGCCCTGAGGACACAGCGGGGCTGTGATGGTGAGCAACCAGCGGCTCTGATTCCTTTCTTTTCTGGTCTCATTTAATGGCTTGCTCAGTCTGTAGCTCTACCTCCTCGCCCCCAATGTCACAAATGAACCCAGCATCGAGGCTGAAGGCTCTGCAGGCTCTGTTTTCCAGGGACAGGCTGAGCCCTGCCATAGCACGTTTCCCTTGGAACCACTGCGGTGCTTTTAGGATTTGGGGATTTGCAGTGGCTCTGTCCCTCTGGGTTCGATGTGAGCGTGGTTTGGTGATACCTGCTGGGAAATGACAGCCTTGGGGGCAATGCTGAGGGCTGGAGATGTACGGGAATGCTGCAGACGGTGCCGACTGCGTGTGTTGCTTTTCCTTTAGCGTCAGCCCCGACGCTCAGCCCTGAGCCCGGCGGCCCCATGACGAGGGCTGCCCTACGCCGCCTGCAGCAGCTCACTCCGCTCTCCAGCCCCAAACTGGCAGTGAAGAAGAGGAGGAGATCCGAGATGAGCAACGCTTCCAGATTGGAAACACCACACAGCCTCAACATGCGGGCGAAGCGCCAGCGGAAATCCTCACAGAGCACAGGGGGGGAAGCGGAGGCGCCGCAGAGCCCAAGCCCCCCGTGCCCTAAAGAGCCCCGATCCCCCCAGCTGCCGCCGTGCTGCACCCCCAAAATCTGCCCTCTGACTGTCACCAAAAGGCGTGTGCCCCTGATGACATCAGCAGCCCAGAACTGCTGCACCCCGACTGTGTGCGACCTCAATGTGACTTACAGCCTCTCTGAGGATGTTGCCAAGCCGGGAGCCGTCAGCCTGCCCCTGTTCCCCGGCTGGGAGAATGCCCTGTGTGCCCTAAAGAAGCAGGAGGGCCCCTTTGTGCCCAGGTCGGTGCTGTACCACTTAGATACAAACAGCATCCCAAAGAACCTGCTCCTCCTTTTCCTTCTGGGCCCAGGGCTGGACCCTCTGACCCTTCTTCCTCCCTGCAGAGCCTCCATCCCAGCGTTCTCCATGAAGGGTTCCTCCATCCCGAAGCTGTCCTCCGTCTCCAAAGGGTCTGCGCAGAAGCGAAGGCGAGCAGTGAGGTGAGACGGCAGCCGTTTGCTGCTGTGGGCGCCCCTCTGTGGGGCTGGGACCCCCTTCTTGCCTGCTGACAGCTTGGGGCCATCCCCACGTGTCCCCTTTCCTTTCACAGCGCTGCTTCCCGTTCGCTGGGTGGGATCCAGAGCCGCATCACCTCGAGCAGCAGCCGGCGGCCGGCGCAGCCCCAAAGCATCCCAGGTGAGTCCCACAGGCATTCCTCTGTGTGATGCCCCATCCCTGATGCCTTCACACCTGGGGCAAAATACCTGGTGTCGCTGTGTTGGTGTGTCTGGGGATGGTGGGCCGTGTTTTTTGGGTTTGCTGCCTCCTTCCTGTGGCCGCATCCTTGGGAGGGGTGGTGGGGGTCTGGGGATGGCTGTAAGGATGGGGCTGGCTGAGGGTTTTGTAGGTTTTGCCTCTTCATCTCCTTCATCCCTTTCTCTTGTTTCTCCCTCAGAGCGTCCTCCCCCCATGCTCACCTGGAAGGGGCAGAATGGCCCCAGAGAGCTGGCAGCACGTGATGGTGCCCCACAGCCCCCACCTCAAAAGCCGTGAAGCCACTCTGCTGATGTCCCTCACATCCAGGACTCCTCACACAGCCCCAAATGCAGCTGCCACACCTGTTCCTCACACCCAGGGAGGTAGAAGGGCCACCCACCCAAACGTTGCCCTGCTGTCCCCTGGCTGCTGTCCCTGCTCCCTCCTGCCCCCTCCCCCTGCACAGCCCCACGTTTTCTGTAGCAGATGGATCGCTGCTGTTCCCTCTCAGCCCCTCTCGGGGTGTCGAATGCTGACAGATGGGCGATGCTAAGCACTGCCACGCGCTTTTAATAAATCTTACAGCTTCAACCCAAAGGAATGAGGGGAGAGGTGGGGCTGTTTCTCCCCCGTTCAGCCTCAGAGCGGTGCTGGGCTGCCAGCAGGGCTGGGTTCCCATTGTCCCTTTGGGGCTTCAGAGTATTTCTTCCTCTGCTGCAGGGTCTCTGGGGGTCCTTGGGGCCACCAGCAGAGGTGATGGCTTTGCACTGAGGTCCCAAAAGCTGCATGGCTGCCTTCGCCCCACAGCCCCTGGTATGTTCTGGCCCCGTTGTCCCATGCACCGCTCCCCACAGGGACTGGGGTCACTGCTCTCTGCCCTACTTTGCTCTCCCCTCTGTCTTCTCTCAGGCTGGAAGCTTCCAATTAAAGCTTCTGTATTCGTTTGCCTCATTAAGGAGGGGGGGCTGGCTCTGTGTCCCCGCAGTGACAGCTCTCTGCTTTGATCCCATTGCGTGGGAGCGGGGAGAAAATAAATCCTGGGGGGATCACAGTGGGGGCACCCTCTGCCCCATCCCTCCACGTGGATTTGGGGAGGGGAAAGGAGGGGGATCCCAAAGGGCCGCCACTGAGTGCAGCAGCAGAGCTGTCCCTGCCCCACTTGGGCTCTCAGCACACAGGGGAGGTGCTTTTGTGGCTGTCGAACCAAACCGGGGGCTGGAGCAGGATGCTTGATGCAGAGCTGGGAATGGTGGGGGGGCGTAAAGGGGCCCCTGGCGTCCCGCCCCGTCGCTCTGGGCTGGCGTCCGCTGGGGCCCGGCGTTGTCCCCATCCCGGTTGAGTTTTCCCAGCTGCCGGCTGCCACCTAGCTGTCACCTGCGGGCTTTGTCCCCCATCCACGGCCCCGTTGTGCCGATCCTGGCACATCCCCGCCGTGTCCCCGTGCCCGGGCCGCATCAGGGCCAGCGGTGGCCCCGTGCCCGTTGCCCCCACCCTCGTTTCCCGGTGCTGCACAGAGGTCTCATTGCTGCTCTGTGTACACTGAGCCCTTTCAGGCAGTTCTGGCACCGCTGGGCTGGAACGGGCTCGGGACGTTTTGGCTGCCTAATTAAAGCTGGCCTTAATTAGCAGCCTCCCTGCGCTGCCAGGCCTCCTGGGGTGCACCTCATCGCGCCCCACGGCGTCGCACCCAGGACCCGCAGCGCCCCACAGTACCGCACTCGCGCTGCGTCCTGCTCTGCCCCGCGTTTTACCCCGCTCTCTGCGGGCGCTGCCAGCACTCGGCGCCGGCTGCCAGCGCTCGGCCGCCCCCGCTGGGCGCCACAAAGCCCGGCTTTGTGCTGCCCGGCCTCCGGCCAACGCCGAGGCCATAAAACCCCATCGCGGCGCACGTCGCGCCCACCTCCGCCATGGAGAGCCGCCGGCTGTCCTACGGCCGCCGCTTCGGCCCCAGCGGCTCTGCGTGGAGCCCCTCGGAGCGGCTCCGTTCCCGCGGCGCTCTGCCCGCGCCCCGCACGTCGGGCAGGGTGGATTTCTCGTCGGTCAACGTCCTCAACTCGGAGTTCCGGGAGATCCGCACCAACGAGAAGGTGGAGATGATGGAGCTGAACGACCGCTTCGCCAGTTACATCGAGAAGGTGCGGCTGCTGGAGCAGCGCAACAAGGTGCTGGTGCTGGAGCTGAACAGGGCGCGGGAGCAGGAGCCGTCCCGTCTGGCCGATGTGTACCAGGAGGAGCTGCGGGAGCTGCGGCGCCGCGTGGAGCTGCTGGGCACCGCCAAGGCGCGCGCGGAGGTGCAGAGGGACGGCCTGGCTGAGGAGCTGGGGAGTCTGCGGGAAAAGTATGGGGGGGTCTTGGCGAGGGGGTTGGTGCTGGGGGGGGGGGGGCTTCTATGGGGTTCTGGGGGTGGTGGGGACTGAGGTGGCCGCCAGGACCGGGGTGGGGACTGACGTGGTGGTGGGGACCAGGGTGGTGATGAGGATTTAGGTGGTGGTGGTGGTGGGGACTAAAGGTAGCCACTGTGACCGGGGGGATAATGGGGACCGGGATGGGAATCGGCCTGGTGATGGGCAGCGCGATGGGTGCTGGAGTGGCAACGGGCAGCAAGGTGATGCTGGGGACCAAAGTGGCCCCAAAGTGATTGATGATGGGGAGCAGGGTGATAATGGAGATTTAGGTGGTACTGGGGATCAGAGTGGCTGCCACAACCAGGATGAGGACCAGGATGCTGATGAGGACCAATGTAGCCACCGTGATCATAGTGGTCCCAGGCACAAAGGTGTCTACTGGAACAAGTATCAGGGTGTCCAGCAGTACTAAGGGGGTCACCAGGACGATGACCAAGGTAGTGATGGGGTCCGAGGTGACCACCAGAACTAGGAAATGGCTACTGGGGTGGTATATAAGTGCAGTGGGGCTGCTCTAGGGCGGTCTGAGCTGTAAGTGGCCACCATGAGTAACAAGTGACTGTGTCTCATGAGTAACAACATGTCCCTGCTCCATTGAAGGCTGCAGCAGGAGGTCACCCTGCGGCTGGAGGCCGAGAGCACCCTGGCTGCATACCGGCAGGTGAGGGCAGGGGATGAGATGGGGAGTGGGCATCAGCTCCCCTCTCTGGGGCTCCCAGGACAGGGCTGGGATGGGATGACAGGAGATGCGATGGAGGGATGGGCAGATCCCCGTGCCCACCCTGGTGCTGATCCCTCCATGTCACACGGTGGCAGGATGTTGATGCTGCTGCCCTGGCTCGCCTTGACCTGGAGCGTCGCGTGGGGTCCCTGCAGGATGAGGTGGCCTTCCTCCAGAAGGTGCATGAGGAGGTAACGTCGCTGCGGTGCGGGGCTCCAAGGGGGATCCATCACCTCGCTGACCCCAGTTCCCTGCAGGAGCTGCGGGAGCTGCAGGAGCAGCTGGCCCAGCACCGGGTGCACGTGGAGGTGGATGCCAGCAAGCCAGACCTGACGGCAGCACTGCGCGATATCCGCACGCAGTACGAGGCCATGGCTGCCAGCAACATGCAGGAGACTGAGGAGTGGTACAAGTCCAAGGTGCAGGTGGCACCCTGTCCCCGTATATCATCTCCATGGGTTGGGTTGGCTTCTCCTGTGGCTGGGTGGCTCTATGGGGCAATGGCACAGGAGGGCTGACCCTACGGTGTGTCCCTTCCAGTTTGCAGACCTGACAGATGCAGCTGCCCGGCACGCAGAGGCCCTACGTGCAGCCAAGCATGAGGCCAACGAGTACCGGCGGCAGCTCCAGGCCCTCACCTGCGACCTGGAGGCTCTGCGGGGCTCGGTAGGTGCCAACCGTAGGGCATGAGGTGGGACGTATCCCTGGGTCGTGGCACCACGGGTGCCCAAGGAGGTGGCATCGAGGGCATCACGTCCCACGGTGGTCACCAGAACGAGTCCCTGGAGAGGCAGCTGCGGGAGCTGGAGGAGCGCTACGCACTGGAGACGTCTGCCTACCAGGACACGGTGGGACGGCTGGAGGAGGACATCCGCAGCCTCAAGGAGGAGATGGCGCGGCACCTGCAGGAATACCAGGACCTGCTCAACGTCAAGCTGGCCCTCGACATCGAGATCGCCACGTACCGCAAGCTGCTGGAGGGCGAGGAGAGCAGGTGACAGCCCTCCCTGCCCCGAACCATCCCTGGGTCCTTTTGGTGCTGCTGGGTTTGGGGAGCGCCCTGTGGCCCTCCTGCCTCACCCGTGGGGCAGAGGGGACCCGATGCTCTCCCCGACGCTCCCATTGCTCCCGCAGGATCACCGTCCCTGTGCAGAGCTTCTCCAACCTGCAGATCCGAGGTGAGGCTGCAGCTGTGCACGGGATGGGGGTAGGATGGGCTGCCAGCTGTCTGTGCCCCAAGAGTCCCCCGCAGAGTCCCAGGGTGGAGGGGATGATACGCCGTGGTCACATCCCTAAGGCCAACTGCATCTCCGAGGCCGCGTCCCCAGTGCCAACCATTCCCCCGGGGTCAATCCTGTTGCTGAGGCCAACCGTGGCTCCCAGGCCAACTCCACTGATGAGGCTAATTGTATTCCTAGTGTTGCGTGTAGCCAACACCAGCCATGTCCCCAGTGCTACCCTTATCCCCAGTGTCAACCATAACCGAGTGCCCAATCTTCTCCCAGGGATGCTTCATCCCTAAGGCCAACCACAACTCAAAGCCACGTCACCAAGGCCAACACCATCGATGAGGCCAGCCATATCCCCAGTGCCAACCGTGTTCCCAAGGCCAGCCACATACCAAAGCTAGACATATCCTCAGGGCCAGCCATGTCCTCAGTGCTACCTTCACCCCAAGGTCACAGTCCAGTCCCAACCACAAAGTCCCCAACCGCAACCCAGTGCCGACATTTCTCCCAAGGCCAATAGCGTTCGCTCCAACAGATTGGGATTTTTCAGCCCAACTAATTCCTTTTGCACCCCTTCAAGGTGTATGAGTGGCCATACTGGGAGCACTGGGTCACCACCCTGTCCCATCCATAGAATCACAGAATGGCCTGTGTTGAAAAGGACCACAACACTCATCTGGTTCCAACCCCCTGCTGTGTGCAGGTCGCCAACCAGCAGCCCAGGCTGCCCAGAGCCACATCCAGCCTGGCCTTGAATGCCTGCAGGGATGGGGCATCCACAGCCTCCTTGGGCAACCTGTTCCAGTGCCTCACCACCTTCTGCGTGAAAAACATCCTCCTAATATCCAACCTAAACCTCCCCGTGTTCCCTAGAGACCAGCCTGGACACCAAGTCTGTGTCAGAAGCTCATTTGAAGAGGAGCATTGTGGTCAAAACGGTGGAGACGAGAGATGGAGAGGTGGGAAGTCTTCATCCCCTCCATCCCCAAGGGGAGACACTCTGTCATGTGCATGGGTCCCGTCCCCAGGCATGTTCAGACAGACCTGAGTGGGCTGACAGTCCTTCTCCCTCTGCTTCCAGGTGATCAAGGAGTCCAAGCAGGAGCACAAGGAGGTGGTGTAGGTGTGAAGCCACAGCCACGCTTGTAGCCGTAGCTCCGTAGATCCCACCTGATGCTGTGAGGGAGCCCTGCAGTGGGGCCGGAGACATAGGAGAAACCCACCCTCATCTCCCCCACCACCCCATGCCCCAGGGACCCCTGTGTTGGTCCAGTCAGGACTGAGATATGGGGGCAATGCTCCCCACTTCCCACCTCATTGGTCCAGGAGGCCACCTCGGTTTCCCCACCGTGTCCTGGGCATCCCTGGGAGGGCTGGAGGGGACGTGGCACTGCATGGCCAGGGATGTTTTACTGTTGTTGAGCAGCAGTTGGGCTTAGCCAAGAGGTGCAGGCAGGAGGAAGAGGAGGATGGAGCATACGGGGAGGCAGGTTGATGTTGGGATAGGGAGAAGGGTGACGGAGTGGGGCCTGAGCAGGGTGCCTGGGGATGCAGAGCGGTTGTGGGGCTGGAGCTGCGTGGGAGTCCTTGTTGGCTTTCCTGGACACAGCGCCATGGGGCTGTTTTGACCCTGATGGGATGCAGCATGCCGAGATGCCCCCATCTCCAGAGATGAGGAGACAGTCCAGGGGGCTCATGGCCCGAGCCCAGCTCTGCATGGCCATTCTGGAGGGGTTGGAAGAAACCTGTTGTCCCTCAGCACCGTGTGGCCCTGTCTCCTGTGAGCTCTCCCACTGCATGTCACCCACCTGGGGCCCCCGCAGACCCCACACTCACTTTATTTTAGCCACTGACCATGAGCTAAACGTGCCCTGCTGCCACCTAACACAGCAGCACCCACTCATCCTCACTCCCCTTACTCCATAAGTTGAGCCCATGGGGTGCCACTGGGGTGCTGCCTCCTCACCCCACTTATCTCCACATCCCTCAGCTCAGCTCTGAGCTTTGCAGATCCTGGTTCCACAGGGGCCATTCCCAGGGCAGGATGTGTTACGGGGTGACAGTGCCAGGGGTCACTTTGTCCCCCATGAGCTGGATGGCGCTTTGCAGCCCTTACTGCTACTGGATTAATGCCCTAACGCTGCAACAACATGAGGTGTGAAATAAAACCTAACACAAGTGCTGTGTCGGTGGTCATGACTGCAACCTGCAGGACAAGCTGCAGAGCGGTGCGTTTTTGGGATCAGTCAGGGCACAGCGGCCCTTTGGGTGCTCAAAGGTTTCTCACTGTGGGACCAAGGCTCAGCCCTGAGCCCCAGGGCATGACCAATGCATTCTGCCATCACAGAATATCCCAGCCGGAAGGGATGCGGATCACTGCCCAACTCCTGGCGCTGCTCAAACCCTGCGTCTAAGACTGGTGTCCCAATGCTCCTTGAGCCCCAGCCCACCACCCTCTGGTGCAGAAGAAAAATAGAAATGTTCAAACTCAGCTTGTTGAAAAACAGATCGCTCCAGCTGAGGATCTTGCACAAACACTGTCTTAAAATCCCTTTGGGGCACAGTTGGCACTGGCAACAGGAGGGTCCTCATCACTGAGGTTGGCCTTGGTGGCACTGCCTTGGTGGGCAGCTTTGGGCTGCGGTTGGCCTTGGGGAACACAGTGGGCAGTGGGGATATGACTGGCACTTTTTAAAAGGTAAGGAAAGCCAGAATCAATCGGAGTAGAACAATCTGGAGGATTACAGTGGCCTCTTAGAAAAACAACCCTAATAAATCACCGGCATGGCAGAAGAACTCCATGGTGCTTAGCCAGAAAACACTGCAACGGCTCCAGCTATTCATTCAAAAAGGATTACACTGAGGCTAAAAGCCCACCACAAGCCTTCAGTGAAGCCAGGAAGTGACACGGCGGTGGGAAATCCCTGCCACAGCTCAATGGGACTTTCCACTTTGGTCTCCATCGCTGCACGACCCCGAGCAGAGGATAGGAGGGCAGCGGCCGCATTTCCAGCAGTCAAAACCTCGTAAGTTTCCCACCAGGGAACGGTGCGAGGTGTAAGATTGACCCTAATTCCTCACAGAGTGCCGCAGCACCCACCAGCAGCAGCGGCACGAGTGGACGCCGATGAAGACGGCCCCGACGAGGACGTAGCTGACGCCGATGGCCTTGATGACGTAGATCGTCTCGGGGTCGTCGAGCGAGCGGCGGCGCTGAGCCTGGTAGCTCACACGGAGCCGCAGCCCGGCCACCAGTTTGCCCTCCCTCCAGCAGAGGTAGGTGCCTCCGTCGCTGAAGCGGACCCGGCGGACGTGCAGGTGGTTTCCGTGGTCGATGAAGACGCGCATGCTCTTGTTGACCCCCACGAGGTAGCGGGAGCGGTAGAGCCGCACGGAGTCCTTGTCCCACGCCACAGCGTGCTCGGGCCGGGCCCCGGGGCAGGCGATGACCAGATCTCTTCCGAGGGGATGCTTGTAGAACTGCGTGGGGACGCGGGGCAGCCAGGGCTTCTGGCCCAGCTTGTGGATGACGTTGGAGATGGCCTGCACGCCTTCCTGTGGGTTGTCCTCCCGCGGACACGGGGCCACGCAGCTCCGGATCGCCACCTCAGGCTTCCGGCGGTGGCTGGAGCGCTGGAGCCGCGCCGGAACGGCCCTGGAGCCGCAGGAGGTGACGTTGGGCAGCACGGTGCGGTAGCGCGGGTGCAGCCGGGCGCTCTGCACGTAGCAGAGCCCGATGCGCCTCTGCTCGCCTCGCACCCCACAGCGGTCGCACGTGGTCCAGTCCCAAAAGGCGGTGAAGAGACTGAAGGCCTTCGCCGTGTGATCATCCTGGACGTGCTGTCCCACGTCCAAGAACGCCACCGTGATGTGCTTGGTGGGCTGCACGTCCACGTCATAGCCATAAAAAAAATCCCCTCTCGGGGTGCCACACAGGTAGTGACCCGAGTCTGACACCTGGGCACGGAAAACGATGAGGCTGAACATCCGGATGGTGAAACGCTTCAGGACGTCAGTGCCCACGTGGATGTGGCTCGAGTCGAGCACCATGTTGCCAGAAAAGTCTGTCAGGACGGTGGTTTCGTGGCCTCCCATGTTCTTCTGGAAATACCAGACGACGTTGGTGACCTCCTCGGGCTTGCAGTTGCAGGGGAGCTCGAAGGTCATGTCGGCCAGGTAGGCGGCGTTGTCAAACATCAGGAAAGCAGGACACACCATGCGCCTGAAAATGTCTTCTTTCTCCTCAATCGCAAAGGAGTGGAGAACATCTGCCATGCAGAGGAGCAGGACGGCTCCCAGCAGCCACATCTCCATCCTAGGTGTCCAAGGGACACGGCTCTGTAACCCTTCCAGCTGCTCTAAACCTTTCCAGCTGTTCTAGAACGTGCTGTGCTATGGGTTTTGCTATGGGCAACCAGCAGAGAGCTCCATCATGTAGCACGGCCATGGAGGCAAAATGAGGGGGGAACAAGGGAATCACTGCTGTTCTCTTGAAAAAAAGCAAACATTAAGGATCGCCTTACCAACTCTTCTGTAGACAATGATCATGGAGAACCTCCCTGTTGGCAGCTTCACCTGTAGCCCAGAGCCAGAGGTTTCACACAAGATATTTAGAATTTCATATCCTCCCTGATGTATCAGTATCCCCTACTCTGATTTTGGGAGCCCCCAGGATCTTCCCTTTTTGTTTAAGACAAAAGGCTTTCTGTTAGCTTCCTGGCTGCCAAATGTTACACAAAGGCAAAAAGACTGCAGGGACACACATGTCCCCAAGATACATGCCACAAAACCAAGACACGTGCCAAGAGAAGCCTGAAATTGGGGGCCTAGAGTTTCTAGAGAAGGTGGGAGAGGGTGAGATATAGCCAGGCAGGGCTGACTCTGCCTTTTGCTCCTCTAGCTGGGCTTTTGAACAAAATGGACTTGGTAGTTGATTCTGAGCTGAATTCAAGGGAATCTGAGCAGTGCAGCACAGCCTGTGCTCTCCAGCACTCCTGGGAGATCTTCCCACACTAGACCTGCAGGAGAGTGTGGTGGGCAGGTGCTGAGCTGTACCATATGAGAGCCTTTCTGAAGCCTGCAGCCTAAACAGAATGGCTAATCAATCCAGACATGATAACACACAGCATTGGAGAGTCCCCCCGTTACGATGCTGCCTGACAGTTCCTTCTAAATTTCAATTTATGTAGAATTTAGGCAAACCGTGGTCCAGGACCATGGGGTGACAGCATCTCTGAGGTTTACACCAAGCCCTGCTTAAAATGGGTCAGTCCCAGAATTTCCGCCTTGCTCTGCATCCCCCCCTCACCATCCCTGGCTGCGTGGTTAAGCGTCAAATGTCCTGGATTACATTTCTTAAATCCAGAGTGACAATGGACAGAGATGAAGAAGGGGAGGAACTACTTGGGTTTTGGTTTCTCCTCCGTACACGTCAGCCTAAATGTTCTTTCCTTCATTTATTCTCCTCACCTAAGAGATTCTTACAGAACTGTCCTGTGAGGACACAGAGATCACAAGAACACAAAGTCTGTTGCTAACCTTTATTGGGCAGAACCACTGCTGCTCCTTCAGCTGGCCTGGTAGCACCTCATCAGCTCTGTGACTCTCCTTTCCTCTGCTTCCTTCTGCAAGTCGGTGTCGGTGGGGTGGGTTTCTCCCTCTGCTTCGCCACAGGGATGGCCAGGGGTCCAATAACCCCCACTCATGCTCTGCAGCTTCCTAAACAGAACCCTGGTGCTCTCTTTTTCTGACGTGCTCAGAAGATCCAGGTTTAACCCAAAGCGTTTGGTGCTGGAAAGGCTCTGTAAGATCTGAAGCACAGCATCTCTGTCTTCGTGGCAGACGTTCTCTGCCAGCACGGTAAGGAACTCACCCAGGAGGCCAAAACCCAACTCGGCCTGAAAGATTCTGCTCAAGGCCTTCCCCTCCAGTTTAAGCAAAAGCTGGTATTTTTCTTTTCCACTTTTTAAGCACTGGCGCCAATCTCGGTAAAATTCGGCAGAGGTTCCAGGCAATTGCTCCAGCTCCTGAAGGAGAAAATGATTGTCAAGTTTTCTGCTTTGTTCCTCACAAAGGTTTTTATCCCCCCCCCTTATCAGCCCGTGGATGTCTGACAGATCCTTCCGGCACAAAGAGCTGCACAAAGCTTGTAAGGCAGCAACACATGCAAAGAGACAAAGGGATACCAGGTTCATCGAGCCCAAGAGAAACCAGAGGACTTCAGAGAAAAATAAAGGAAGAGTGGGTGAGAGATGAAATGCAAGGCACGTGAACACAGGAACCCAAACTGCCCACTCTGGATCCACCATCCACTAAAAGGATCTCTTGGAGACTGTGATAATTCCACGGAAATTTGGGTCCCTCTCAAGCAAACCAAACAGGTGAAGAGAAAAAAGCTGAAGGGCTTAAAACCCAGAAAGCATATTAGTTTACACATCCTATATGCACACCCTAACCCTATATAAGCAGCCTCACATACTGTCTCGTGGCGTCCTGTAACACACACACCCACAATCGAGCACTCAGACTCAGACACCCAGCTCAATGTGGCATCTCCAGATAAAAAGAAATCCTGCTTATACGATATGTAATTGAACTGCTGAACTCATACTGCTGCCTGCAGAAGGATTAAAATATTTGGGCTTTTATACAGATCCTGAGAACGAGGTGCAGCAGCATCAGGCAGTGTCTAAACACGAAATTGAGAGGCCCTGGAGATCAGAGCCTGAGCACTAATGGGATTAAGAGCAGCATTTGCTCTGGGGAGATCACTGCTCAGCCCAAGCAAAGACAGAGCTGCCTTAGAAGAGCTGCAAAAAGGATCTCATCCTAAACAAGCAAATGAAATTCACTGTCAAAAATTTCACGCAGAACATCTCCAGCTGGGAACAGTCC